ATTAAAACAGAAACGAGTAGACGACATAACAATCGATGAATCATCCAGCGAATGAATCAATCAATCGTTCCATATATAAATAGCTACACCTTTCAAATAAATACGGCCGAAACCTCGTTTTCTCAGTTATTGAACCCTGTCTCAACATTTATGTGCATTCCTCGTGGGAAAACGAGGGGGAGGGGGGGGGGGACAGCAGCGGGTCTTTTATGCGAGTAGATGCGGTAGTTGAGAGAGAGAGACACGGCGAAGAGGCACGCCCTGCGCAACACAACTGCCGGCGATTCCCCTGCACTTGCCCGCCGTCCCACGCGTTTCGCACGGGCTTGTTCTTTCGTATGCTCTACACAGGATGGCGCTGTGGGCGTGCCGTCGTGTACACGCACACGTGCGCGAAGCTACTGTGTCATACAAGCCTCGTAGCGCCTTCATTACGAACCTATTCGCGCACGCGTTTCAAAGTTTCACGTAACTATACAACCTCATGCAGCCGCGTGTTCTACCATATAAACACTATTCACGCGAATCCATGACTTCGTCTGCGGTAAGCTTTGACAGAGAGAAGTGCACTGGCAACAGCCGGCGTCGGCTGTTGCTAATCTGAAGGCCAAGCCTCGCTGTTCTGTATTTGGCCTTGAAGTTTTATGTGCCAATGCGATCGTTACTGCCTTCATTTGAAACCTATATAAGTGTGATCGAAAGATTCGATCGGCTGTAGGTTTCTTTTTTTTTTTTTAACGTGCGTACAGTTAAACCTAGGAGCTCAGAATTTGCCTCCACGGAAATGCGGCCGGCCCTTCCGGGATGTGATCCCACAACCTTCCTTCCGATCTCATGCAGAGCGAATGGTGGTAGTGGTTTTCTTAGAAAAGGAAGAAGGCGCCTCATTTCTGCAGCCCGCAAGGGAGAAACGGCGCAGCGCCTAGAATGCCTATACACGCGAGCTCAGCCACTACGCCTGCAAGGAATAAGTCGACCCTCCGACAATCCTGCAACGGAACGACACCATAATCCTCTCCTGGCTACCCTAAACAGGCGTGACGCCCCCCCCCCCTCCAAAAAAATATGTGCTGCCGAGGCTTTGACGTCACCCTTTGTACTCCCGCACGCTGACCAGCATGGCGTGGCTTGTGCGTCCCTCGTGGTACGTAACCACCAGTGGCACATACCCGAAATAGCGGTCCTTACGATTTTGACCTCCAAGGTGGTTCCGGTGAGATATTTCTTCTGTGCGTTGTTGAACAAAAAAAGATAGTGCTCAATGCACATGTTAATGGCTGCTAAGGGGGAATGAGAGACAGGAGCATTCGGCCTTTAGGTAACGCGCACGCTGCGATCCCCATTAGCAGCTATTGGCATGTAGATTGAGCACGGTCTGACAAGAAAGGGTTGCTACGTTATACTCGCTGGGTGTAACCTCCTTGGTTTTAGAAAGGTTTAGCGAGCGTTGGGCCACAGTGCCATGAATACAGTGAACTATAGTATATACCATGAGCTCGAGGTGGTTAAAGGTGGGAAGTAAACCCGAAGCGCAAGCCGTAAGAAAGTGTGGATGTGCCACCTCCCGTTTAGTCCTTGAAATGTCCGCTGGATGGCGGTGCTTCTATATGGAGAATATACGTCCACAGGTCGAACACGCTCGGCAATACAGCTGTCGCGTCGCTATGAGTCACCTCGACCAATTAAATATCCGAAACGACGTTTGAGTAACGAACCGTCTGCTACAACCAAAGCTTGGAGTGCTCGGGAAACTATACCGCTGAACAGATGGCCGATCATACAGTTGCCCACTATGCTTATTACAGACGACCGTCCGTCCTGTAGCTCCGTTCCGAACTTATAGTTAGCGGCGGTTAAGGGCACGAGGGCGCACGTTCTCGCAGAGCGTGTGGGAGCACCGCAGATGCAGGAAAGCTTTCTCGTCTCGTACGTACACAACGGGAACGCGTATATAAAAGCGCGGCTCCGGACGAGCCCGCAGAAGCGGAAGTTATGCAAATTGTGGCGCGCACTTACACAAGACTCCTCGCACCAAGAGGAGGAGAACGGAGGAGAAGCGAGGTGTCTTTTACCATTTCCATTGTATAGACGTGGGCCCGAAGCGGGGTTAATATTATTCACGCGCGCAAGGACCACAAATTATGGTCCCTTGATTTTAATTGTACACACGGTGTTCGGACTGGTTAGTGCATAGTCTAGATGAATAATCGTTGGTTACGGAAACGCATACGGTGTTTCGCCTTAACTGTTCCCACGAACACGGCTACCTTTTTTTTTTTCTTTTTTTTTTGTCGGGTCCGTAAGCTTTGGGAAACTACGGACAGCGGGGTTTCACTCGGCGCACATATAGTGAGCAATAACCCGCAGACAATGATTTAACTCTTTCTTCACAGAATCCACCGTAAAGTAACACCACTGACAAACAGGTGAAGCAAACTTTGAAAAGTAACTTGCGCGAAAGCGCCACGTAGCACGCAATAAAAATAAAGCGCGAGCGGTTATTCTTCGAACCAGCTCAATGCATACACATGTATACGGCGCAATGAAAAACGTCAGCGGCAGACGCGATGTGCATGGACGCGGAAGAAACGTGATATCGTTGCCAAGGGCACGCAGCCACGCCGGGCTTTCGACGAAGTGCCTGAAGGGCCGCGGCTCCATCAACTGAGTGAATAAAGTTTACTACCTACCTACCTACCATCACGTCCACGGTGTAAGAATTGCGATCGCGACGGAGAGGCCCTCTCCCGCACACTGCTGCCTATATATACACTATTTTGCGGAGAAGTTTCATTGCCATCATAAATGGCTGTTATAGTTAACCTTCGTGTTTTACATCTTTAACAACTAAACCAACAGCGTTATACCGTAGACGTATACTATAGCGAGAACGTTTCAGTATCTACATAGCTGCGTGTACGATATTTCGTGGCCTCGTTAATTCGCGTCGCAATGTACAAAAACGAGGACACATCGACGTGACAGCCCAAGATGGCAGCGCCCACGTGTCTTACGTAAAATAGTCCGCACAGCGCGCTCTTTCCAACCAGCATAATTTACGTCAATAGAGAGTTTTAGTATTGCGGAACGGTACTACGTACGCATCACGCAAGCGCCCTGCGTTACGTGGCGTCGTTTGCCACTTATGGGCTTTTTAGTACGCCGTAGTACCCGTGTACGCAAAGAGCGTGAAGCGTGTTGCGCCATCTGGTAGATCAAAATAGAAGCACGTGTTGTTGACAGCCAATGAGAGCCAATTCAAGTGTTATAGCCAGAGTATGGCCATATTTTAAGCCACAGAGCCGGTCGGTGCTTGCCTTCGATGCCGCCATTTTGCAAAACGAAGTCTCGCGCTGTCGCGAACTTGTTCGAGAGCGGCGCGATCAGCTCATACGTACGCACGCACGCATCTCATGCGTGCGTACGTAGCGGCTGCGTACGTAACGCGATACCCGCGCGTTGCGGTCTGCGCATGCGCACTACGCAGAACGTGGCGTCCTTACGTACGCAACGCCGCCACGTACGCAGCGTACGCAGTACTAAAACTCTCTAATATCTGTCCACTTAGCACGCGAAGTATGTACGCAGAAACAGCGCTTGTCTGAGCAGCGGTTCGAACGATGACGCAGCGTCCGCAAAGTGCATTGTTCAGCGGATGCCGGGTCACGAGGCGGAGTCGTGACCTTCGTGAAAACGTTCAAAACCTGTCGGGGCCGAGTCCAATATGTATGTTTCAGAGAAACTAAAGAGATTACAGGGTTATTTCACGATGCCTTTTTTTTTTTTGCACGACGAAGTCACAAAAAAAAAAAAAAACCGACATGACGCGTGCTTCTACATGTGCTGAAGGCGAAAAGTGTTCGCGACAGTGCCGCAATGCAAACACTTCAAACTCGTAACGGTTAGCGAACTCTGGCTGATCGAGCTACGGTGGTCACGGCATCGCACTTCGTAACCATTTCTTCCATTTCGTTTCTCTACAAAGTCACATATAATGGAGTTTTGCATTTCGTGATTGTTTCGAACGAAACCAAGCCTTCAGCTTTTCGGCAGGACAGCGCACTCGGTAGTACGAACGACACTAAAAGAACAAAATTGCAAAGATAAAAAAAAAAAACAGATCTATTCTTAGAAAGTGCTGCCCATGGTTCTTAGAAACAGCGGCGCTGGATTTCATTAGGAGATATCGACTCTCAATCCGTCATTGTCGAGAACCTGGCAGAAACGGGGGCTGCTTACGCGCTTCGACCTGCCATAGGAGCAATTGCAACAAACACTGAAAACAAGAGATTGCGATTTCTAAGCGGGCACTATCGCATATGCATCAATGAAAGTGAAGGAGAGGGAGGAGGAAGCGCGACTTAATATTCTGCTCTGTTTCACTCACACCACCATCACTCACCATGCTGTTACCAATTGCGCCGCTGGGTCAGGGGAAACGGGCTACAGGGGACAGAAAGTTCTGACAAGCGTCCAAATGCGGAGCTCTGCAATCTCTTCACGAAAGGGGTCTCTGCAAACGCTCATTTAAAGTCGTACTAATACGTCGATGCAGAGAAAATACGCGCGCGTTACTTTAACTGCTCACGGTGACTTCACGCTGGTGGGATTTAATGCTCCTTGATAATTGCCATCTATGATTGTGGCGCGCAAAAGCATCGCAGGCCCAATGCCACAGCCTTCAGAAGGTGATCCGTCTGTCTAGAAGGTGAATGATGGATGGATAGAATTAAAAACTTTATCGAACTCCATTATAGGACGCGCTGGTTTAGCCCGAAACGGGCAGCACCCACGTTGGCGCTAAAAGGGCCTTTCGGCCACTTCGAGGATGTTTGACTGCCCACAGCTGGTTCAATAACGTAAGACTGCGTAAAGCTACGCCCCAGGGCTCTTCTGTATTGTCCTTGTCACTGCGCACCGCGGAGGGAGTCCGGGAAGAAATACATCTATGCGCACCAAACTCCACGCACTATACGGCATTTCCCGTGGGACAAGGCGCATTATGGAGAACGGTGCGGTCTCACCTGCACCGTCCTGTCCTGTCCGGGCGGGACGTGGGCGCAGAAGACGGCGCAGAGCGTGTGCACGGCGCACAGAGCGGCGCCCAGCAGCAGCGCGACCCTGGTTCGCACCGGCAGCATGGTGTACGCGAGGAAGAGCACGAACAGCAGCTCCCAGAGCCCGTCGGCCGGGGCGCCGCTCCTGAGCTGCCAGAAGCCGTCGCCCACCGACCACGGCATGGACAGCAGCGAGAAGGTGGAGGCGAGCGCCAGCGCGCCGTGACACAGCGCCAGCAGCGCCGTGTCCTCGAGCCGGCGCAGCGCCATGAAGCTGAAGGCGCCCAGGAAGAGCAGGCCGTGCACCAGGTGCAGGAGACCCAGCAGGGAGGGCGAGCCGCGCCGGTAGGCCAGGTCGATCGACGCCAGCGTCACGTTCAGCGTCACCAGCAGTCCCAGGACGCTGGCGATCGAGGACTGCTGCAGCTTGAAAGTGTAGCGCTGGTACAGCTGCTCCAGGTCGGCGTTCTCGAAGCGACGGCCGCGGAGGAGTCTCGAGAAGGCCGCCTTGCGGTGCATCGCCTTCACCGAGTGGTCCATGGCGCGGCCCGAAGGGGGCACGCGAGAGAGCGCCCGCCGCTTTGTGCACTTCTATACAACTCGGGCCTGGCTTTTGGGACGATACGTTCAGCTCGTCCCCATACCGGCGAACGCCCTGCACAATTCGAATGAAGGAAGAGAAAATGTATGCATAAAGGCGACTGTGGATCGCTGTGCGCTGTTCTGTGCGTCACAGCGGCAATGTATGCGATGTGAACGTTATAGCGCTGCACTCCACAGCTCAAGTTTTCTGATGGCAAGTATATCGCATACCATCTCACATAATAATACAAAGTGGTGCAAATAGCGCAAGTGCAGGAGTGAAAGAAACATGCAAAGATCACTTATTTACTTGGAACGTTATTCACTTGATGATGATCGATATGTGGGTTTTAACGTCCCAAAACGACCATATGATTATGAGAGACGCCGTAGTGGAGGGCTCCGGAAACTTCGACCACCTGGGGTTCTTTAAAGTGCACCCAAATGTGAGCACACGGGCTTACAACATTGCCGCCTCCATCGGAAATGCAGCCGCCGCAGCAGGGATTCGAACCCGCGATTTGCGGGTCAGCAGCCGAGTACCTTAGCCACTAGACCACCGCGGTGGGGCGAACGTTATTCACTTGTATAATGTGTAGTATTCCATTTTCTAGAACGTACGTATATAAAGCTTCCAAGAGAAAGTTGAATTTTATGGCATAAAAACAGCGGAGCGTTAGACAGTCCGTCATTTCGGGACGTTCTGTTTATATTCGCATATACAGCTGTTTAACTTACAAGTTATTCACCCCGTCAAACAACGCGGGAAAAGCCAACTTCAGAACTCGTTCTGGATGTGGCAAAGCCCGCGTGAAGGCGGCGGGGGAGCGTTGCCACGGCATTATGTCCCGGCCTATCAGATTAGAACTGGCGGCAGAGCCACAAAGGAAGTATAAACGCTTGTATTTATACACCAGCAAAAGGGCCGGCCGCGAAGGCAGTGCCGAATCCGGTGAGTTGCAGAAAGATTGCGGTGCCTCCAATCCTGGGGGCTCAGCAAACCACGTTAGAGAAAGCTTTCTGAAGGGGCGCGGGGGCATGAATAGAATTCGCGCAAACAAGAGTGCTGACAACTACGACGCATTTCGAATAAGAGCTTTACGTTAATGACAAAAAGGCACTGACTAGTTGTCTCGCACATGTGTTGAAAGCGAAAAAAGTTCACGACAGCGCCGCGATGCAAACACTTAACATCGGAATAACATCACCAGGCGGGAGAGATGTGACCGCGTTACAGCTGACGCGACTTTATTTTACTTGATAGTTCAGGGAACACTTGAAGAGCTCTTTAGAAGGCTAGCAGTAATAAATATTTGATTCTTTTTAGAAGGCAAGTTACCCGTCAGTGTAAAGAATACACTGACTCGAACTTTCACCACGCATTAAATGACATCTCCAACTTCCTAAACGAAAAGTAACAAACCCTTGCGAAGTCTACAAAGGCAGAGACAGATGGTACAGGCCGCACGGTCTCGGTATTGTCGTTCACGTTTACTTAGTGATTTTTTTCTCTTTAAACTGGGATCTAAAGCAATAAACTCTCGGTACAAAAGCAACGTCACTCGAATAAATAGAGGCCTGAGGTAATGGCAGTGTAGCATCGGCGAATTTCCTGACAGCGAGGCTGCTATAAGCTCAAGGGGCAGTTTACGTCACCTGGCGTCGTTTTCCAAAACAAAAACACGTTCACTTTTCCTCCTCCACAATCGTTTCCGGCCGCACTCATACGCAGAAGCGATTTGGTCCCGAGCAGCTCTTCTGCTTTCCCCGCTAACCCCGTAAACCCCACACTTCCTTTCACGGTCATCCCTGGCGTACAAGTGCACCCTCAATTGTTTCCTCCTTCAACGTCCACTTTGCAGCTGGTTACGTCCCTCTGCCCCGACGTCCCCATTTCGGCACCGTCTCAGAAACGCGCAGAGGACAACAGAGACCTTCTAAAAAACAAAACAAAAAAACACGAGGATAGGAGACGCGGACAGGAGACGCGACGGCGAACGCCTTCGGGTTTTACCCTTCTTTTTCTTCCCCGCATCCCGCTCCCTAAAATTGGCGTATACACGAGTGCCGGTCTCCACGGAAGGAAGATAACACGGAGAAAAGCAAGTGGTTCGTGTCCACGTGTGGTCGTGCGATACACAATATACAGAAAGATGGGAGAGGCGTGCGCGCCAGCGAAAAGTACAGCGAGACGACGAGAAGGAGAAGAAAATGAACAAAGAGAATTGACGCAAAAAGCGAGAGAATCCCTTATCGGGCGGAAAGGATGGCGCAGCGATTTGTCTCGGAAACAAATTACGGGAAAACAAAAGCAGCGCGCGGGCGCCAGCACCTCCTCGAAGGTTGTCGCGCGGTCCCACTTTTCTTCCTTCCTTTCTTTCTTTTTTTTTTCCTTCTTCGTTGTAAAAAGGCTAGCACTTAAGGGTCCCAGATTGCCAAATAATAAAGTACACGGGGCTGTACATCGACGCGAAGGCTCGTTTAATACCGTGCAGCAAACACAGGCGATTCCCGTAAAAGCCACTCAATAAGGCACGCAAGAGTGAGCACGAAGCCGTGCACATAAGTATAGCCCTATCCCTGCGAGTATAACGCAAAGGCGACGGTGGCAAAGACGTCGGTTCGAACATCTGTCACCGAACTTAATTGTTTTTTTTTTCCTGCAACCTCTGAGGGGTGTCGTACGTCTTCGCGGAATGTGCCTGTCTCATTCAGCGAATTTATTCAACCTGCTGCAGCAGTTCCAAGGCTCGTGGCGAATCCATTTAACTTCTCGCAAGCCTTCCATTCTCGGAGCTTAATGGTCACACTTAAATTTAAGTGGCTGGCGAAAACGATGCGAATCTCCGGAGCCCACGAGAGCTTCCTCGGTTAACTTGTCTACTTTATCAAGGGTCGCAGAAATAAAACACACACCGTTCAATTTCCCACAGTATTGATTGGTAGATACCATGTTGTCGCCGAAGATCTCCCGATTTTCAAGCTGCTAACGGACCGCTCGTTGCACAGCCAGAAAATAAAACACGCGGTGGCGTCAAAAAAGTTGCCAACCGTGGCGTAATTTTAATTACCCTACTTGTAGGGTATACTTCCGGAATTTTTCGGGAAACGCGGGACAGTAGGGCGGTAATGCAGTTTTCTTTATATAGGCGTACAGTAATTTCCGATTTTCGCTTGTCATCGATCAGCGAAAGAAGTGAACGATGGACGTGACATCCCCACGGGTGACATTCCCAAGTAGTAAATCCGAAAACTAAGTCTTAATTTGAAAAAAAAAAACAACTGTAAATGTCTTGATTCACATTTCGCCAGCATAAGCCAGACGTAAAATATTTGCACAATTGATTGAATTGAAGCACAATTGACGTCAATCTTTCGAGGGTGGGGCAATCGATACAATCGATTGAAAATAGGGAGGGGGGGAGGCAGATCCCACGTACCTTGGGAATCGACGTTATGCGAAGCATGCGGAGAAAAGGTGACAGTAATTTTTTTATGGAGCCACACGTCATGAAATGACGCAAAATATATGTATAAATGTTTCACGTACAAACGTATGTTGAAGACGGTTGCAGATGTTTATATAACCAGTTGTGTGAACTTGCGCAAGGATATTAACAGGAACACCGTAAGTTGTGATTAATATGTGGGGCTTAACATCCCAAAACCACCATATGATTATGAGAGACGCCGTAGTGGAGGGCTCCGGAAATTTAAACAAGCTACGTATTATAGCAACACCAGAAGCGATAAGCTGGTATGAGCGCTGGTGCTCGCGAGGACAGTAGGCCGGGGACACTGCCACATAGACTAACTTCAGCACATGGCACCTAATTACAATTGACGTTAACGCGACGAGACGCGACGCGACGTGACGGTTGTATCATATGAAAACATATATAATGCTTATAAAATTGGATAGCCAGCGCTGTAACCGCAAATGACGTTTCCCGGACATCAAGGTCTGTTTGAAAAGTAGTTGCGATACCTGGCGTGGCTCTGGAGATAGCGCTGCTTGATTGCACGCAGAATGCTTGGGTTCGATTCCTGCTGGGACCTTATTCTTTGCGTTCGTCGGGGTAACGCTGCCGATGTCAGGTTTAACGCACTCGCGTTAAAATATCCCATGTGTGTCCCCGTGGTTCCTGGGTATAAATGTCGACCCCTTGTGGAACACACTCGCCGAGGGTATGTGCCACGTTATTATTATTATTATTATTATTATTATTATTATTATTATTATTATTATTATTATTATTAGTATTATTAGTTATTATTATTATATTATACAGGAAAAAAATTGTCTGTACCCACTGCCTTTCCTATGAGCCTGAAACCCAAGAGTTGATATAGGCTATAGTGCAACACACACCCGTGTTACCTCTTCCCATACAATTAGACGTACTCCGTCGTTTTTTTAACTTTCCGCATGTGTGAATTTCTCTTCTTCACTGAATCTCACTTTATAACTATGCGTACTCTAGGTCAACCCGACCTCGCTTCAAATGAAATCATCCCTTTGCATTATCGTAAAGTGTACCTGTGCTTATTTAGAATTTGCCCTTTCGGTCGTTACCTAGAGTCTGCTTTCTTTAATCACCGCTGTGCAATGCATATTTTCCGCCTGCTTGACGTTTCACTTCGCACTCTTTGTCTCCACATCGCTTATATACACCTTTTCACAGGAAGGAAAAAAAAAAAAAACACCGCCATGATGGGCTGTGCGCGGGAGTACAAAGGCTAAGGGCGCAGCGTTTCCAGTGCATTTTCGAGGGGACGCGCCAATTTGCACAGCCCAAGGAGGGCTATGGCAGTGCCCAGGGAGGCGTTTATGAAATGGTGAATACATTGCCAGCCGTATACCTGCTGATGAGTCTTCTATCAGCTGTGAATCAACCATATTCCCATACAAATACCGTAACACTTTCGCTTCCCATTTTCGTATTTCGTGTCCCTTATTCTAATTTCAAATTTATTTAAAAATAATTTTGAAAGTAGCTACAAACTTCAGCGCCACTACACACACGTCTGCACGCAGTAAAGTTTGGTGCATTTTGCGCCTTTTTTATTGTT